AGCAGACCTCTCCTGACTCACCCGCTGCTCCCCTCTGTCTCTGGTGAATCCTCTCACCCCCACACCTCTGGCCTGTACCCCCATTCTTATATGCATAAATAAATAAATCTTTAAAAAAAAATGAAACAATGAAAGGGGAAAGAGCTCAAGCCTTTTTGAACAATTAATGAGGATAAAATGAAGGACAAGACAGCAATAATCCCTTTCCTGGCAGCATTTCCCAAAGGAAGGCACATTTTCCCCCCTTAGGTAACCAATATTGTAATTCTTAAAGATATATAATTGAAACCTTGTAAGGACCTAAGTTAATATTAACTATCTCCCTTCCTTCCTTCAATGATTCTCTTACCAGAAACCTACTTTGAGGGGCTAAAGGAATGAGGTCCAGAAGACACTGCAGTTTTTCTTCTCAACTGAGTTTCAACAAAGTATTAGAATGACATTTATAACGGTAAATCTGACTTTTACAGCTACATGGGGTTCACCTGGTTATAAGAACTAAAGAGGATAAACCATTATGTCAACTGGAGTATGTTCCCAGAGGGCCATCAGAAACACCTGTTCCTCTGCTCAGAAAATTTTATCATTCCCGTAGGTACACTGTACATGCAATTGGGGGGAAGGGGAAGATATTCCTTCTTATCAGTATAAAGTCAGCACCAGCTGTACATCATCTATTCAAAACCCAATGGGTTTCAGAGGGATCACTTTGAGAAGGTGAGTAGTTCTGCAACCTCCCCATAGACAGCAAAAAATAGAATTTGAAAAAAGAAGAAAACACAAGAGGAACTTGAGCTGGCTATCAAATTTTATTCTGAGTGATGGATAAGTAATTTAGAAACATTCTGCCTCTAAAACTTGCTTAAAACAAAGGACTACAAGAGTTTATATTCTTCAAGCTCTTAGGAGTCCTACTCAAACATAATTATTAGAAAATTTAAATGAAGGAATAGCGATATCAAAAAGCCCATATTATTAGATGTTGCTCAGGATTACATATTTTCTAAAAGTATAAAAGGACCAAGTGACATTACACCAAATTCAGGATGGGAGTACATAGGTGGGAAAGAGGTACACAGGGGATTTAACTCCACTGGCTTAATTTTTTCAGCTGTGTCATAAATAAATGGTATTCCTTATGCTGTATTTCACAAAAGCACATTTACCATATCTGAAATTGGGATGTATCTTGCAATTGTGTCATAGTTCCGATGGCAGCATTTCTTTGTGAGACAATAGTTTCCTGCACAATCAGCAGTATCTTAGATATGTATAAAACACGATAGTATGTCCTCTGTATTCTTTTAATATTGCATAATAAATTTAAAATTTTTTGCATGTAGTTGTAACAAAAAAAAAAATACAATTGACTTAATAACCGACTTATCCAAGAAAAAGGGTTAAGGCTAAAACAGAATACCTATTAAAGAGAGTGAGCTGGGTCTGGCCTTTAAGGATGTAAGGCTTCAGACAGAATATTTTAGATAAGGGGAATAGGAGCAAAGGTTAAATTACTAGGAATAGAGATCTATGAAGTCTTTCTGTTTTGTTAAGAGACATTAAATGTCTTCCATGTGATTTAAGACTACATCAGCAATAATAGGACTGACAGGAAGGGGGAAAGCAGAGATAAGTACAGAGCCACTTAGACATAATATATTTCACATGGCAGATAATGAAAGCCGGGGTCAGAGTGGAAGTGAGGAAAACAAAAGAGAAAGAGATTTCTGTTGAATATGTCAAAAAGGCTAAGGCACAGATTTAAGAATAGTTTTACCCCAATGATCTTAAAACATGTTAAGAGAAAAAAAGTATAAAATTATTACACAGACCTGTGGCTCTCAATCCAGATGCATATAAAAAATATCCATGAAGCAATTTTAAAAAAACCTGCATGTCCGTGCCCCACCCTGGCATTTACTGAATAAGAATCACTACAAATCTGGGAGGGAACAAGTATAGGGGTTTGTGTATGTAAGAGGCAAGGCTGGAACTGAAAACTGCCCTAAGCATAGGTAAAATCTATAAGGTCATCAAATGTCCAGTGGGAAGACTTGTTAAACAAGTTCCAAAAAGTCTGAAGGAAACCGCTCTCTTCAAATTCACCAATGATGAAACTCAGGTGAAGTTTGAAGGTGATCATCAAGATTAATCACAACTTCCTTCATCTACTCCTAGGTAATATCAAAACACAAATAATCTCATCCACCTTCAGTGTTAGCACCTAGTAGTTAATAATGAATCTTATATTCACCCAACAATCATTACTTCTTCCCTCTCAGTGCCAAATACTATTTTTTGCTTTGACAGAAAAGGTGATACAGTCCTTTCCCCATAAAAACATGTCTGAGAGATGGTATCATTAGGTCCCAATAGAGGGGGAAGGAACCAATTGCTTGTTCAGGAAGGAAGAAGTAACTTTTGAGCTAAACTCTGTTGAAAAGATCGATTGAGGGAGGGTGTGTGTGTGAGAGAAGCCAAGTAAAAGAAATATTTCATTTTATACTACCCACATAGTCTTTTTCTATATCCTAGAATTATTTATCAAATATTAGTTAATACTACTGTTCTGGGAGGTAGGGTAAAAATCTATAACATAAGTAGATGTTGAGGGCTTAAAGCATCAAAACAGTGTTATTTCTTTTCCCAGAGAAATTCAGGCACTCTCATTATTACAAATGAGATGATTAAACTCCTTTAATGGAAATAGTCTACTAAGTCAACTGCCAAAAGACCCCAAAAAACCTTTCACATTCACTTGTAAGATGAAATGGAAAAAAAATCCTACAACAGAAGCAAAGCACCAAAACAGGCCCTTTTTACGCTTAAAAACTATGCCCATCTAACCTGTGAGCTACTACTCTTGAATACAGGCATTTATATAACTATTCTGTACAAAGGAATATAGCAGTCAGAAAACATTTCTAGTTGAAGTATTAATAAATAAAAATAGTTGAAGAACTAAGGACATTTTCACCGGGATACAAGTTTTCCTAGACTCCAAATGATTCGTTTGTAAAACTGATACTCCTGCTGGCACTGGGGAGGAGGATCTTACCTCCTAGACCAATTAAAAGCAGACACCACAGCAGCGATCCACCCAGTTTGGGGATAGTTTAGTGAGAGACGAGATATGTAGTTTTAAAGTAAGTACAGGCAACAATTTAAAGCAGGATTTAAAGCAACAATTTAAAGTATCTTCAATAGGATAAAAACCGCTCATAAACAGTCTGATAGCCAACAATTCTTCAGCAATTCACTTCCATGTTAAATCGTGTAGTCACAGAAACTTTACCCAGTTTTTACAACAACTCTATACACCCATTCTAATTACAGTGATACCTTCTCAAAGTTAACAGCATGGTTACATGCTGGGTAAGAATTGATGAGTTCTAAAGGTGAATAAGGACCACCTATAATGTGTAATCAGCACTGCCAAGAATGACCCAGCCACAAAATCTACCACAAGCTGAAAAAATGTGCTGCCTTTCTTCTGGTTCAGGTAGTCTTCACTATAGGATTTCTAGTGTAACCCTCAACAAGTCAGCGTAGCCCCTGCAGAACGAAGACCAGAGTTAGAAGCAAGTGAAAGTTAAATACTTTGCTTTGCCGATACTTTTGAACACAAACAGTTGTTAATTAAGAATCACTGCAAAAAAAAAAAAAAAAAAAAAAAAGAATCACTGCAGCAGGATAAAATTAAGTACAACAATTAGCATGGTTATGCTGAACTATGCCAAGCATTGTCCACTCTTTTTTCCCTGCAAGGTTTATTGGGCAAGAAATCCTATCTGCCCTGTGCCATCTGCCACTTTTATTTAAACTTATTTCTCGCCTAAGGCATTTCCGCCTTGTTCGGTCAAATTAGCCCAGAGTATTCCTCCAACACTGATTACTTTCTCCAATACTGGTTACTCTCTCTTTTTTGGCATCTTTCAGAAACCCTAATTAAAACGACAATGTAGATTCTGACCTTATTGTTCCTATCCTTTCTGACAAGATTCCGCAGGTGCTGAGAAATGCTTAATGGAGAAAGTGTGAACCATGAGTTGGATAAAAAAAAAAAAACTTATCTACATATTGCATTTATGACCACTCTTCAGCCACAGTGACCTTGGCTAGAAACCAATGCTTGCGGGCATAGGGCAAGAAGAAAAGCAGAGCTGGTGGCCCAGAGTCCTTGCACTTGGTGAAACGTTCGCTTGCACTGCAAGGCCTTGAGATGCCCCTTCTGCAGAACACAGAGCATTAACACTGACTCACCCAGAAACTGTGAACACACCGAAGGCAGGCGGGGGGTGGTTAAACCCTCTGCAAATAGGAAGTGCCGCAAGAGCATCGAGGCAAGGATGTGGCCCTGTATGCAAGGGGCCTGGGCATTTTTCCTTTCTCGGGTCTCGCTCCTGGGCGATCAGCACCTACTTCTCTGCTACCTGCGCGGCAGACCAGCTCCCAGTGGGGTGAGCAACCCGCCAGCCTCCTTCCGGCCGGCGGGATGGTGCAGGGAGCAGACACTGCGTAGGCCCAACTCTTCCCGCGCCTTCGCCCCCGGCCCAACTCAGCCCTCCCTCGCCGGCCCCAGCCCAGCGGCCTCACCAGGGGGCGAAGAACTCAACCAGCATCAGCCCCGCGGAGCCCGTGTCGGAGACGCGGCTCTCGAAGTTGTCGTCCGTGAGTTCCAGCACGTCGGAGGCAGCGGCGAGGCGGGCCGCGGCCAGAAGCAGCGCCACGGCGGGGCACAGCGCTAAGCGGCGGAGGCGCATGGCGGCGAGGTGCGAGGAGGCAGCCGGGAGGGTTGGGGCTCGGCGGGGTCTGCGAAGGCCGGGCCGGCGACCACGCACCCACAGCCTGCGCTCGTGCGTCTGGCCCGGGCGGACCTGCAGCCGGAGGCCCCAACCCCCTCGCCCGGCTCGGGCCGCAGTGTGGCAGCCGCCGATTGGCGGCGCGCCTCTGACGTCAGGGGGCGGGGCCGGCTGGTAACCGCCGAGTGGCCGCGACGCTGGGCGGGGTCGACGCTGCGAGCCGGAACTCGGTGAGCTGGCGGGCGGGGCGGGGCGGAGCTGAAGTGGGGCGCAGCGAGGCTGGAAACCGACCCTAAGCTGGCGCTGCGTGGGTCGAGTCGAGCTCAGGGGGCGCCAGAGCAGGAGGCGCTGACTCAAGTCAGGGCTGAGTGGGCGGGAAGAGCCTGGGCTGAGGTGAGGCCCAGAGCTGGGATTGAGAGGAGGGAGCGATGGGGTGGACACGCTTGGGACCAGGCACGTTTTCAGAATGTCAGGCTGTTGTGTTGTCTTCAGTTTCTCTTAACTTGGTTTTTCTTTCGAAGGCAACTGTAGGTCTCCCACCGCCTCAGCTCACTGCTTCGGCCGGCCGACTCCCTCAGGTGCAGGTGATGCCCGTTTTCCTTTTGCCCAGCCCCAGGACGCTTGCCCTTGTAGTTGTCGTTTTAAATTAGAATTTTTTTGTTTTGTTTTGTTGTCGTTTTTTTTTTAAACATATCAGAATTTCTTTTTTTTTCTTTTAAGACTTATTTACTTATGCATACGAGAGCTGGGGTACAGGCCAGAGATGCGGGAGGCTGAGAGGATTCCCCAGAGACAGAGTGGGGAACAGAACAGGCAGACTGACTGAAATACACTGCTGAGGGGAGCAGCTGGCGAGATAGGAGAGGTCTGCCTTGCCATGTGGGTTGCTCCCTGGCTAGCTGGGGATTGAACTCGTGCTGCAGAGGCTGCGGATTGCTTCATAGTGTGGTGCTTAACCCTTGCGCCACCAGGGAGGCCCTAGAAATATATATATATATTTTTTAAGATTTATTTATGCATACAAGAACTGGGGTACAGACCGGAGGCGCTTGCGGGGGGGGGGGGGTGTGAGAGAGGATTCACCAGAGACAGAGTGAGAAGCAAAACAGGCAGACTGACTGAAATACACTGCTGAGAAGAGCAGCAGGCGAGCCAGGAGAGGTCTGCTGTGCCATGTAGGTTGCTTCATGGCCGGCCAGGGATCGAACTTGTGTTGCAGTGGCTGCAGTCTCAACCCCTTGCGCCAGCAGAGAGATCCATAAATTAGAAATATTGCCAAGCAAGTGAAAGGAACCAGCCACTTAGTTGTGCAGTCTCAATTACAATTCATACTTTCTTTTGTTTCAAAAAAAAAAATCTTGAATCTTGCTACAATGTTTTTGTTTGTCATCAGGGCTAACAGGGTAGGGAGGAAGAAAAACTCTAATTCTTAGTGTAACTCCAAGAATGAAATGACACTTGATTCTTCTATTTTATTTTAAAGGACATGGCCACTTATCACCCTTATCAGCGACCAGGACACATGCCACTGCCCAGAGCTGATGCCATTCGTTCGCGCCTTATTGATACTTTCTCTCTCATTGAGCATCTGCAAGGGATAAGCCAAGCTGTGCCACGGCACACTATCAAAGAGTTAGTTGGTCAGTAGCTTGTTTCTGAACTAGTATAAATGCAGGATTCCCATTCACACCCTCCAAAGTGCAGGCAGTAGAGGGAAAATTATAAAGGTGGAAAATTCAGGGGCAGTTGGATTGGGTGCTAGTTTGGAAATCACACCAAATTTGATAAATGGACTGTTTTGTAAGTAAAGCTCTGAATTCAGGAGAAAACACTGCTGAGGGGAACAGCAGGCGATGCAGGAGAGGTCTGCTGGGCCACATTGGTTAGCTCCCTGGCCTGGATAGAACTCAGGCCTCAGTGGATGATGATAGCTTGATAGCATTGAGACTCCAACACCTGTGCCACCAGGGATGCCCATCATTCATTTTTTTAAAACATTTATTTATTTATACGTACCATGTCACTCGTTTTTAGGCTTAGGATAACTACTAACCCTTGTTGACTTAAAAGTTTCACCAAAGACAATTGAAACTTTGAGGGTTGAATCTTCCACCTTTATTCCTGGACATGAACAGTGCTGGTCATAAGCAATACATTAGCTATGAATCCAAACTAATATTAGGTCCCGTGAAAGGAGCTGCAAGGCATGCTTCTGCGCTAGGGCATTCATTAAGTAATCAGTATTTCTGCACTCAGTCCTACCTTTTCTTAACATCCCCCAAAGACTTCTCTTCATATGCTACTATGGACCCTTTTAAATTTTTCTTATAGATCCTGCCCGTCAGAAGAAAGTTATGATGAGAGATCAACATCAACTTGTGCGCTTCTCCATAAAGCCCCGTCATGTAGAACGGATTACACACAGTAAGAGATTGCTGAGCAGACTCCAAGTGCGCTGCAATGAGAGGCCACCTCTTTGCTTGTGGGCTGGATGGGTCCTTGAGAGTATCCTTTCATGCCATTCTCTTCTACCCTCCCCCAACCCCATGCAAACAAACATACACAGAAAATCTTTTATTAATCCTCTCATGAAAAATTTGCACAATCACCATAAAGTTACTGCAGAACCTTTACTCCTTTTTGACATTCATTTTTTCAAAGATTTATTGTATTTATTTATACCTACAAGAAATGGGGTCCAGGCCAGAGGTGTGGGAGGGTGAGAGGATTCACCAGAGACAGAGTGGGGGGCAGAACAGGCAAATTGACTGAAAACACTGCTGAGGGGAACAGCAGGCGATGCAGGAGAGGTCTGCTGGGCCACATTGGTTAGCTCCCTGGCCTGGATAGAACTCAGGCCTCAGTGGATGATGATAGCTTGATAGCATTGAGACTCCAACACCTGTGCCACCAGGGATGCCCATCATTCATTTTTTTAAAACATTTATTTATTTATACGTACAAGAACTGGGGTACAGGCCAGAGGTGCAGGAGGATGAGAGGATTCACGAGAGACAGAGTAGGGAGCAGAACAGACAAATTGACTGAAAACACTGCTGAGGGAAACAGCGGGCGACACAGGAGAGGTCTGCTGCGCCATGGGGGTAGCTCCCTGGCCAGCTGGGGATTGAACTCATGCTACAGAGGCCATGGATAGCTTCATAGTGCTGTGCTTACCCCTTTGTGCCACCAGGGAGGCCCCCACCATTCATTTTATGTAACAATTTTATTGCTTCATCATTAGACTGCTAATTTATTTTTTCCCTTTCAGATTCCATTTTCTTCACATTCTCACTGGTTTGTGCCCTTATTTCAATTGCATAAATCAGAAAGAACTCTACTGTTTGTTTCCTTAAGAGAAAACAGGTTCTATCTTCACAAACTTCATCATCTTCCTCATCTTTTTGAATACAGTCGTACTGATGGTTGAAATAGGTGAGAAGTGACATTGAATGAAAAAGGAAGTAGGTGGGAGTTATTTTCCTTTAAATTGATCATTTTATGTTTTGAATGTCATCTGAATTTAATAGGGACAATTAAGTCTCCTAGAGTAGGAAGTTTGCAACTTTTAAGACCTAGAAACTATTGGAGGGCTCTTGAGAGTGTAGTAAGTAGTCTAGACTCTCAGAGGCAGGTGTAATAGATTCACAAGGAACTGGAAATGTAAAGAACAGTTATATTTCTTTTGTTAGTCATTAAAACTAGTTAAATTAACATTTACTGTTAGATATATCAGTGAATGATTCAACATTTGCATTTTTATAAGTATGTTTAGAAAGAATATTTAACTATGAACAAATATGTAAAGTTAGGCACAACTAAGTTATTAGGTGAGCTGGAAAAATGACTTAAAGACAAAATGACTCTAAAACCAAATTATGTGAAATGTGTTAAGAACAAAGAGATGTTGGAGAATCAATTATGTCCAACAAACTGCTGAGAAATTATGAAAGGACAGTAGAAATAATAACTTTGTTGTTTCATCTTCACTGTATTGGGAGGGGGTTGATTTCCTACTTAAAATAGTCTTAATGCAAAATATTTAAATATCTACAATAGCTTATGTCACTGACCCACAACACTAGTCTATATACTTTGAAGTATTTTATTTCCTCCTTGTATGGGTGAGGATTTTGTACTAAGTCATTCACATTTCCTGTTTGTTGTATGATAACTGAAAAGTATTTGCCTTGTGGGTTTAGGAAGATCGTCTTAAGCATTGCAATAAAGCAAATAGTAGTAAATACACAGAAGTTCCTGCATCTAATGGGCAAAATAAAATAGAATAGCAGTAACCTTTCTATTTGGTAAAACAGCTAAATAGGAAACATGATCTCTGTGCCAGAGGATAGGTGGATTGGCCTGGTAGGAATTACCTTGCAAGCTCATGAAAATTGTATCTTACTAAACACATTCTCATGGTAGAAAGACAGGAGAGACTTTGCAAAGGGAAATAATTTGTGACTAACAGACTTCTTTGAAAAGACTAATTTATCTGATAAACATTAGAACTTGATTTATTTAAGCTTTAAAAAATTTTTCAGGTCACAAAAAATCTTGTTATAGTTAGGGGAAAATAGTAATTAACAACAAATTCTCTAGATCAAAACTCCCAACAATTTTTGTCTTGTGATTTTGTTTCCCAGGACTATATATATCTAATCTCAAAAACTTGCTTGAGGGTTTCACTATTTTTATGTAATATAAAAAAGCAAGTTGAAGTAAAAATATTTTAAAATAACATTATTAAATATATTTTTATGTTATATAATTTCAGCACTCATGTAAGTAATATTTTTTGCCATATTACAAATGATTCATGTTGTTTGTAAAAAAAAAATACATGATTTATCTACAAATGAATTTTTACATAACATTAAGTTTGGTTTAGGCATCAATTATGTTTGTGTATTGTATGTTCAATACATATTATATATTATATGTTCAAGTGTAGATTGAAATTTAATTATGCATTAGGGCATAACAAATAGGAAAAAAAAAACTTTTACATTTGGCTATTCTACTTTGCTCTTTTTTTTTTTTTTAAAGATTTTATTTATTTATTTATACAAGCACTGGGTGCAGTCAGAAGCGCAGGAGGGTGAGAGAATTCACCAGAGCCAGAGCAGGGAACAGAACAGGCAGACTGACGGAAATACACTGCTGAGGGGAGCAGCGGGTGGCAGGAGAGGTCTGTGGCGCCGTGTGGGATCCTCTCTGGCGGCCGGGCATCGAACCGGTGCTGCAGAGGCTGCGGGCAGCTTCACAGTCCAGCACTCAACCGCTGCGCCACCAGGGGAGGCCCTACTTTGCTCTTTTTTAAAAAAAAATTTTTTAAAGATTTATTTATGCATACAAGAACTGGGGAATAGGCCAGAGGTTGGGGGTGAGAGGATTCACCAGAGACAGAGTAGGGAACCGAACAGGGAGCTTGACTGAAATACACAGCTAAGGGTACCAGCGGCTGAGACAGTAGAGGCCTGCTGCGCCATGTGGGTCACCTCCCTGGATAGGGCTCAAACTTGAACTCGTGCTGCAGTGGCTGTGGATAGCTTGGTAGCTCTTTGTCTTTACCTCTGCATCACCAGGGAGGCCCTACTCTGCTCTTTAAATATCAACTGATTTATCTTTAATTTTCATATCTTGTTTGTAAATGATTAGAGAAAGAAAACAAAGATTTAGCTCATTTCAAGTCTCTCTGAAAATAACTTTGCAAATGTCAATAGTCTTGATTTTAAACAAAAAGCTAAGAATAACATCAATATAATCTGCTTTTATATATCAGTTTTTGAGATATTAGAAATAGAATGATGTGCTATAATTTTTTTTTTTTACATTTCAAAAAGGGATAGGTTTATTAGGAAAAGGAGAAAAAGAAAGACACCTGCGTAGTCACAGGCAGGCATGAGAGCTGCTTATACCATATGAAATTTTTGATCAGATGGATAAAGTTTACAGAATCTGATGAAGATTATCTTCAGATAAACTTCTAGGATTAATCTTACATCTTCGTGAAGATGTATTTTAACATCATATTCTGTATTTTATTGTGGGATGTAACTAGTCAAAATCCAATACTAAAAGCAATAGCAATTTAAAAACGTGTAAAGGGCCTCCCCGTGGCGCAGCGGTTGAGCGCTGGGTTGCGAAGCTGCCCGCGGCCTCTGTGGCGCCGGTTCGATCCCCGGCTGCTCCCCGGCCACTGGAGGAGGGTCCCACATGGCGCGCGGACCTCTCCTGCCGCCCGCTGCTCCCCTCAGCAGTGTACTTCGGTCCTTCTGCCTGCTCTGCTCCCCGCTCTGGCTCTGGTGAATTCTCTCACCCTCCCACGCTTCTGACTGTACCCAGTGCATGCATAAACAAAACAAACAAACAAACAAATAAATAAAAATAAAACATGTCTCTATAAAAAAAAAAAAAAAAAAAATAAAATAAAATAAAAACGTGTAAAGCGTCCAAACTACTCAGCAGTTTGTGATGTTTAGGGTGATTGAATAGGCACTTCTGAGCTCCATTAACTGCCAGGAAGTCAGTCATAGTACATTTGAGGCTCTCAAATTGTTCTATTTTAAAGGGGAAAATACTAAATTACTTACTCATAAAAATGGAAATTAAAATAGACCACATTAAGCCTTTAAAATCACAAACTTATGGAACACCTTAGAGGATCCCCAGGGGATTTCAGACTTGTTGGAAAATGCTTTTAGTTGGGGGGAAAAAAAAAGTAAATGCCTGTATCAATACCAGGTTATTCATTTATTTATAAATAATCAAAAAAAAGATGTCGCATAGTGAAATTACCTCATTTAGTAAGCTCTTAAAATAGTGAAATACCAAGTAATAAATTGTGATAATGTCCTATGATGTTATGTGGGTTTATAGATCTTTCTATTTCAAAAAAAACATTCAGGGCCTCCCAGGTGGTGTATCGGTTGAGCGCTGGCTGCGAGGCTGCCCGCAGCCTCTGCAGCACCGGTTCAATCTCCCGCCACCAGTGAGGGTCCCACATGGCGCACAGACCTCTCCTGCCGCCCGCTGCTCCCCTCAGCAGTGTACTTCGGTCCTTCTGCCTGCTCTGCTCCCTGCTCTGGCTCTGGTGAATTCTCTCACCCTCCCGCGCCTCTGACTGTACCCAGTGCTTGTATAAACAAAACAAACAAACAAACAAACAAACAAACAAATAAAATGCCTCTATTAAAAATAAATAAATAAATAAAATAAATGCATTTAAAAAAAAACATTCAATGGAGGTTTATTTTAAGGAAAAGTGAGGAAGATGAGAATGTGTCTCAGCAAGCTCACAGCCATAACTCAGGCAAAGCTGAATACAACCAGAAACTAATAGATTGAGAGCAATTCTAGGGACTAAATAGCAAATACGGTATCAATTCTCAGGACCAAGTATCTCAGAATAGGCCTACTATCAGTCTTTGCTGAAAAGGTTAATGGCACTTTGAGACTTCTCAAAAATGAACATGGTAAGGCCTCCCTGGTGGCGCAAGGGGTTAACACAACCTATGAAGCTGTCCGCAGCCACTGAAGCAAGAGTTCAATTCCAGGCCAGGGAGCTACCCACATGGCGCAGCAGATCTCTCCTGTCTCGGTCTCGCCCGTTGTTTTCCCTCAGCAGTGTATTTTTTTTTTAATAGAGGCATGTTTTATTTATTTGTTTGTTTGTTTGTTTGTTTTGTTTATACATGCACTGGGTACAGTCAGAAGCACGGGAGGGTGAGAGAATTCACCAGAGCCAGAGCAGGGAGCAGAGCAGGCAGAAGGACCGAAGTGCACTGCTGAGGGGAGCAGCGGGCGGCAGGAGAGGTCTGCGCGGCATGTGGGACCCTCCTCCGGTGGCCGGGAGCAGCTGGGGAGCAGCCGGGGAGCAGCCGGGGATCGAACAGGCGCCGCAGAAGCCGCGGGCAGCTTCGCAACCCAGCGCTCAACCGCTGCACCACTGGGGAGGCCCTCAGCAGTGTATTTCAGTCAGTCTGCCTGTTCTGTTTCCCACTCTGTCTCTGGTGAATCCTCTCTCCCCTCCCCCCATCTCTGGCCTGTACCCCAGTTCTTATATGCATAAATAATCTTTTTTAAAAAGTACATGCTAATTAGTAAATACAGTTATGTGGCCTAATACAATGGATGAACAAAAAGTGATAAAGAGAAAAGAAAATTGGAAATTAAACAGAAGTCATTACCCTTACTATAAAGCCATTGGTTATCCACACCTAGAAATATGTACTAGCAATGCTGATAATAATAATGAATATAGTTATTGTATGTTTTATATACTTACCAATATTTATTCCCCATTTTCTGAGGTAAACACTATTTTCCTCACTTTATAGTTGAGAAACATGAGACAGGTTAAGTAACTTCCTTGAGGTAATACACTTGAAAATTGGAAAAGCCTAGTTTCAAGCCCTGATTGTCTGACCCTAGAATTTTGCCCTTATTACTATGTTTTACTCCCTAGAAATCTAAATATTGGTTGTTAGGTCACATTCCCCCTTAGCCCATAACTGAACTAGAAAAGGAAAGCTGACAAATTACAAAAATGGATGTGCTTTCTGTTAAGGTATACTTTAAAAAGTATATGACAGCGTAGAGTGAAAAGATGAGTCTTAGCATCTATAAAATAATGAGAGATAATCTTATATGTTAGAGGACAAGTACTATTGTTATAGTTGAAAAACCTAACTAGGTAACAGTAAATCTAGAAAAAGGAATGGAAACTAGATAAATAATTAAGGCATTAAGGAACTTAAGGTTGTTAAGGTTCTATTTCTAACAGGCTTAAATGCCATTATAGAAGGTAATTATGCAGTTTCACAAATGCCCTTAGGGGCTGCTGATACAGACTCGATATGTTTCTTATGTTCTTGGGATTTTACCAGTCTTACTTTCTTGGTAACTTGGCCAAATCAATATTTAGTCTTACTTGTGAAAGTGCCTGCTTATATCTCACAAAGGAATTGTAAGCTCCATTTGAACTCATGAGTGCAAGATATAATTTTTCAACATTAGCTGTTGTCTTTAGCTGAACACTTATGCAAATTTCAGTGTACTGCTGTCCTCACTAAAGATTAACTTTTCTTGAAACCAATGGGAATTTACCTGATATTCTATGAAGTTATCTGCTGTTTTTCTAGAATAGGAAGTGATGATAAATGACTGCCTAATCATACACATTTTCCTGACTTGTTTCATCAAACTGCAGCCTTTTCTCACACTGAGAGAAGTGTGTTCAAGCGCAGATTTCACTATGAACTCACAACGCTGGCCAAGATTCCTGGGTAGACTTCATTGGGATCCTTAGCTCTATTTCCACTAAGAACCCTTTGCCTTGCTATTGTAGGCCAAAGAATTCCAAGAATTTTTAAGTCATGTTTTCATCTCCAGATAGTATACATTTTTGTTAGTTGATGTAGAGTTGTAGGCAATCACTTCCATTTTTGCTAAGGCAATTTCTGTTTTGCTTCTTTTACCTGGGTTCATTTTGTTACTATAAAATTATCCCTTTCTCCCCAAAAAGTAAAAGTACTTTTTCTTCTGAAATTTGGACCTCCTACTCAAACTATCAGACTCTCTCTCTTTTTTTTTTTTTTCCAAACTATCAGACTCTTCTCTCTAAGACCCTTACCTTAAACTACTTTCACATACTTTTTGGGCTCCTGTTTTATGAAGGCCAAAACAATACAAATTGTAACATTACATTTTCAAGCCTTTAATGTAGTAGTACTCAGCTCCTTTTAATAATCCCACATTTCTTTCCTATTGAGAAAACATTGTATTTTATTGAATCTAAGCTGTTATCAATGGTAAAATGTAATCTGTCTATCACTAGGAAATAAAAAGTATCTTCAATTAAACTGGTAAATACCATTGATTTTAATTATAGTGCAGCCTAATTTCAGAAAAGTTAAAATATGAAAAGCTGTTTATCTTAGAGTTAGAGAAGTATTACATGAAAAAGAAAAATTTACTTAAGAAGAATATAGCCTGAAGAAGCATAGGAATAACTATAGTGTGACTTCACTGCTTTTCAGGAAGGGCCAAACCATTTTGAGAGGGTTGAAGTATGATTCTGTTCTTTTTGTCTTGATCCATTCCAGGATTAGGATGACAATAAATCCATAGCATCATAACACTGACTCTTATTTAACTTTTAAGGCTAGTTTGTTTTGTTTTTATTTAATTATGTTTATTTAGGTTACAGTTATTTTTTAAAAGAGTTATTTATTTATGCATATAAGAGCTGGGGTACAGGCCAGAGGTATAGGGGGTGAGAGGATTCACCAGGGACAGAGTAGGGAATGGAACAGGCAGATTGACTGAAATCCACTGTTGAGGGGAGCAGCGAGTGAGTCAGGAGAGGTCTGCTGCACCGTGGGGGTATCTCCCTGGTCAGGGATTGAACTTGTGCTGCAGTGGCTGCAGATAGCTTCATAGATTGTGTCTTAACCGCTTGTGCCAGCAGGGAGGCCCCAAGGTAATAGTTATTAACAACACTCTATATGTCTCTGGGATATAGGTTAATATCTACAAATGTCATCATACCATGTCCACCACTAGAGTCCCAAGAATCCTCCACCATAGTCCATTGGTTACTTAATCCTTTTGTGCCCACCCCGTCTTCCCTTTCTGGTTGCCTCAGTTCTGCTTTAACCCTATTTTGTTATTTTTGGTTGTTTATTTTTTATTTTTTTTTTTTTTGGTGTGTGGGTTTTTTTTTGTTGTTGTTAAGCCTATTTTGATCTTAATGTTTTATTCTACATCGTGGTGTATATTAAATGTATAAAAAATGTGTAAAAATGATGAGGATTATAAAGGTAATGAGTTAAGCAATAGCAATTTGCAAATAATAGGATTCTAGAGAGAAATTATAGATTTAATTTGCCTTGTAGAACAAAATCAATTTTAGGCAGAAAAGAAAGGGGAAAATTTTAAAAGTTATCAATAAAGAAAGAACCAAATAATTTCTTATTATAACTCAATATGCCCCATGAAGCTGGCTTCTTGTTCCTACATTCCTTATAAAGCCCTTTCCACATCATGGTCTTGTATTTTCATTCTGTTCTCAATACCCCATTGCTTTCTCGTGAAGTTTGGGACTGCGATAACAATACAGTTGGCAGGGTTTTTGGAGAGCAATCCCTTGATTGCCGTGTGACCCCAGAGTAGGAAGACAGGGGCTGCAGCTGTAGATATACTGATATTGGAAGAAGCTGAGTCATAGCTTTTTTTCATGTTCAATTCTGTCCTTTTCTGTATTTCACAGGTTGAAGCAACAATAGTGTTAAGAAGAGAAACTCAAAAATGGAATAACAGTGGGTACAGCTGTAATTTATAGAAGTTTCAGCTTCCCACTTCCTTAACCTTTATTCATTCTTTGCTCTACTCATAGAATTGCTCGAATCCTCAAATACTAATCTGTGGCCACTGAAGCTGACTCTGGAGTTGGCAGCTTGGTTCATCTTGCTTATTTTCATCTTGGAGATCCTTCTTATGTGGCTCTCCAACTTTTTCCACTTCTGGAAGAATGCCTGGAATCTCTTTGACTTTGTTATCACCATATTGGTAAGGATAGATTTCCTGTGAATTAGTTTAGTGGCTGAGGAATGTGCCTGGGTGAATCAAAATGACAAGTAAAGATAATTAGATCAGAGGATGAAAGAAATAGAAATGTACCTAACTTCTCTATTTTGATTTTTTTCTAAATTAAAAGTCAGTCATTGCAGGTATTAGGAGCAAGGTAGCATCTAACAGCACTGTTAATCCCAGTGATAACAGCTACCATTTACTTAGCAGTTACTGATTGCCAACCACTGTTCTAAGTGTTTTACATGTATTTTCTTATCTGAGCTCCATAAAAACCCAGCAAGATAAACACTTATCCCCTTTATGTCTGAATGAGATGAAATACAGGTTTTAAGTAATTTTATATAGAAAGGCTGAATAGGAAACAACCCCTAAAGAATGTCATTCAAGATAAGCCCAAGGAACTATGGAGATAATGAGATAAAGAAAGGACAGCCATGTGGGGATGCTTTGGGGTATATTTTACTTACAATTTGTGTTTCCCACAGTCCCTGATTCCAGAAGTTGTGGTGCTGGGAGGGGTAGAAGGTCAGTCTGTATGGCTCAAGTTGCTGAGGATCTGCCGGGTGCTAAGGTCTCTCAAACTCTTTGCACGGTTCCGTCAAATTCGAGTCATTATTTTGGCCCTGGTCAGGGCCCTCAAGGTGATTTGACTGTTGCAGCTAAACCAGGTGGGCAAGGTAGATAAACATGGGGCTTAATATGAAGCAAGTCTGGGTGAGTCAAGGAAGGCAATGAAAGATCCTGTGAAATATTATTTGATGAGAAAGGGGTGTGGGCAAGCTGCTGTGGCCTAGAGATGACTGGGATCAGTACTGGACATGACTTGGTTTGGTGTGGGGGGTTGACAGGGTGGTCTTGACTAGACTATAGGTAGAGATCAACCTAGTCTGGCTCAGTTCTGACTTGAGGTCATGGCTTCTAGAGCATGACCTTCCTCTGGCTGTTGCTGCTCATCTTCTTCTATGTTTTTGCCGTGGCTGGTGTCTACTTCTTCGAGAGTTACACTCGTTCACCTCGCCAGGACCTGCAATACCAGATGTTCTTCTCGTAGGCAGACCTGGGGGAATTTTGGGTGGGGGGAGAGAATTTGGGTGAAAGACGGGGAACCTAGTTCAAATAATAGTCATACAAAAAGATTTGTTTATTGTAAGAAACTGGAATAGAACACAGTAAGGAGAGGGAAAGAAAAAGCAGATAGTAACTGGTATTAGCTCAGACTTTGAGGATAGGGCAACTAGTCCAGGTTTGCTCTGCAGTTTGTAAATTTAAAAACACCCTCATTAACCATCTTTAAATAGAGTATACTCTACTGGTTAAACCTTGGTTTCTATGCCTTAGTTACCTCTTTTGAAAAATGAGAATTGTGGCACTGCCTTGTAAGAGTATAAGAAAAAATGAAATAATACATTTTAGCACTTAGCACTGAGTGATCACTAAATATTCCTTTGATTCTCAAGCATGGCCAGTGGTTTTACCCCAACCTTGGTATGGGGATTATACCTTTATATACTGACTCTCATTCAAAAGTAAAATTCTGATAAGATCTTTGTATAGAGAACACTGATTACTAGTGAAAGTCAATTTGGGTTTAGAGGAGATAACGTTATTTATGAAATGGAATCCAATTTTGTTATCACCTCTCAATTATCTTAGACTGACAGGTAGTTTTGTAAGAGTATTGAATTAAGAAAATCCTAGCATTCATGCTATCAGGCCCTGGTGTTTCAATAAATTGTAGAAGGAGAACTAAAAAGGAAATAAGAAAAATTTAGATACCTCCTGAGACCTTTCATGATGTAGTCATTCTCATTTGTTATGGAGAGTCATAAATGTTTATGTCACATATCCATGCATTTACTTAATCTACTAGTTCATAACAGCAAATTAAGAAGGAATAATGTTTGCTAAATTTGTAAATGATCTGTTAGGTGAAGTCCATAGAACAGTGGAGAATGAATTTATGAAAAGTTATACATACTACTCAATAAGTAAGTAGTGAAAAAATTCTTAAAAACTTACTTATTGAGTGGGGGAAGCAAATATTGTCAAAAAAAAATTTAAAAATGTTAAATGTTAAAAAATAAAATAGGGCCTCCCGGTGGCGCAGCGGTTGAGCGCTGGGTTGCGAAGCTGCCCGTGGCCTCTGTGGCGCCGGTTCGATCCCCAGCTGCTCCCCGGCCACCGGAGGAGGGTCCACATGGCGCGCAGACCTCTCCTGCTGCGCGCTGCTCCCCTCAGCAGTGTACTTCGGTCCTTCTGCCTGCTCTGCTCCCCGCTCTGGCTCTGGTGAATTCTCTCACCCTCCCGTGCTTCTGACTGTACCCAGTGCTTGTATAAATAAATAAATAAATCTTTTTAAAAAAAAAATAAAATAAAATAAAATAAAATAAAGCAAAAAAAACCCACAAAAAAACAAAAAACAAAAAAACTTACTTATTGAGTACCTCCTATACGCCAGATACAAATGGAATAGTGAGAGATAGTCACAGATAGGAAAACTTGATTAAACATCTTCAGATTAAAGAATGACTTACTAAAAATTTGAATGTGTTAAAAAAGGAACCAAAGTCAGAGCAAACTACATATAAATGCTTTTATGTTGCTTTAAGAGTGAGAATGGTACTGTTTCTGAGAGATTTGGGTCTCTGTACTATTTATAAACACACTTCCTTTTTTTCTTTAGGGACATACTGAATTCCCTGGTGACAGTGTTCATTCTCTTCACTTTGGATCATTGGTATGCACTGCTTCAGGATACCTGGAAGGTGCCTGAAGTCAGCCGTACCTTCAGCAGCATCTATGTCATCCTCTGGTTGTTACTTGGTTCCATTATTTTTCGAAATATCATAGTAGCCTTAATGGGTAAGGATAGAAGAAGTAAAACTAGGTGGAGGGATAATCAAGAAGAAGAAATTAGGGTGATTATGGTTAGAGAGAGACTGGTGTAGCGGGAAGGCTATAATAGGGCCTGCAATGGATATTTTACTTGGCTTCTCCCAACCTAAGCCCACTAGTCACCACTATCTCCCAATTTCTAATGGTCCTTTGGTGCAGTTACTAACTTCCAGAATATCAGAAATGAGCTGAATGAGGAGATGACACATCTGGAGGTTCAGCACAAAGCTGACATGTTCAAACGGCATATTATCCAGAGGTATGCTTCCCCATTTTCAAACCCAACTTTGTTTCAAGAGTTTCCTGACCTCCTTCCCTGTTTCACCCTAAACTTTGATCTCATTCTCCACTTTGTGACAGAAGATTTGCCCCACGATTAGAATTCCCCACTCCAGAATATGGCCTGATTCTTGTTTTCCACTGTCGAGGCTTCCCCACTCTTTTTTATACCTTTATTACAATTTGTTCTCCCTGCTCCATTTTCTTCATTTTCTAATCTGATTCTTGTCCTACTACACTACTACTTCAGCATAGCTATCTTATTTTTATTCTTTGTTTGTTTGTTTGTTTTGCTTTGCAGGCGGCAAAACCTGCCAATGGAGGGACAGAGGTCAAGCGTTAGCAAAGCCACTGTCAGGTTAGACGTATATATGTGAAATGGGATGAATGTATCTGGGGGAGGAGTGGGTAGAAAACCAAAGATGATTTATTCAATAATTAATTATTGTAGTGGTTCAGTGGTGGTCCCCTGAAAAATATGTCTATATCCTAACCCCCTGCAACCTGTGAAAGTGACCTTATATGGAAAAAGGCTCTTTGCAGATGTAAGTTAAATATTTTGGGATATGATCATCCTGGATTATCCAGGTAGGATTTAGGCAGGCCCTAAATACAGTGACATGAATCCTTATAAGAGATAGAGAGGAGAAGGCATAGATTTAGAGAATAGAAGGAAATGTAAAGATGAAGATAAGAGATTATAGTGATGCAGCAATAAGCCAGAGGAAGCTAAAGTATTCAGAAGCTAGACAAAGGAAGAGACCTTCTCCAGAGTTTCCAGAGGATGTTATGGCCCTCCAAACATCTTGATTTCAGAACTTGACTTTCAGAACTCTGAGAGAATAAATTTCTGTTGTTTTAAGCTACAAAGTTTGTGGTAATTTGTTACAGCAGCCACAGGAAGCTAACACAAATACCCTCTATAAAACATACTATTCTAGACTCTAAGTATTCAACAGTAAACACCAGAGTATGAGAAAGAAGATACTCATTTGTTTATTGAACAAATATAATAATTTTTGAGTGTCTGTTAGGTGTTTTGGGATTTATCAGTGAACAAAATAGATAACTCTTCTCACTGAGCTGGTGTGCTAGTAGTGGGGAAGAGACAATATACAAAGGCCATATTAAATAGGTAAATTAATATATTAAACTATAAGAATTATAAAAATGAAAAGAACAGGTTAAGGGGGTTAGAGTATAAGATGGGGGTTGTAGATGTATTGCATTGTAACAGTGGTATTTGAACTAAGACTTGGAGGAGGTGAGGGGATTACTATGTGGAGATCTATAGAAAGTGTGCTATAGGCAGAGGGAACAGCTAGTATAAGTGTTCTAATCCAGAACATGCCTGCTGTGTTTCTGAAACAGCAAGGAAGCCATTGTGGTTAGAGCAGAGTGAGCAGGGAGAGAAGTGCTAAGAAATGAGGCCAGAGAAATACTGGGTACTTGACTTGATCCAGCAGGACTATGGGGGCTTTTGTAGGGACTTAGTTGACTCTGAGTAAACTAGAGAGCAGAGCAGTGACATGAAGTGGCTTATATTTAACAAGGTTTATTCTGGTTCTTGTGTTGATGATAGACTATATAAGGACATGGAGGAACCTCCCAGTTCAGGAAGGTCAGGAAGCTAGGCTGCTCTTTAGGAAAGAGGTGATGGTGATTCAGGCCACAGTGGTACCAATGAGAAAAGATATATTGAAGGTAAAATCACCAGGATTTCTCAGATCTAGAGAAGAGTTAAGGATGACTCTGGAGTCTTAACTGAGTGATTAGAAAGATGGATTAGCAGAAATGGGGAAGAGTGGGTGGAAGAGGTTTGGTGGATAAAGAAGTCAGTTTTGCTTGAATCTGAGATGTCTACAAGACATCCCAGTGGTGATCTGTGAGTAAAATTTGTATACACAAGTTTGGATTGAGGAGTGATAGCTGGCCTAGAGGTTTAAATTTATATTTAGTAGGCATTAAAACTCAGGATATGGGGCCTCCCTGGTGGCGCAAGGGGTTAAGACGCAGCCTATGATGCTTGCAACAGCCACTGTAGCACGAGTTTGATCCCCAGCCAGGAAGCAACCCACATGGCTCAGCAGACCTCTCCTGACTCACCCACTGCTCCCCTCAGCAGTGTATTTCAGTCAATCTGCCTGTTCTGTTCCCCACTCTGTCTCTGGTGAATCCTCTCACCCCCCCCCAACAACTCTGGCCTGTACTCCAGGTCTTATATGCATAAATTAAAAACCTTTTTTTTAAAAAAAAAAAAAAGCAAAAAAACTCAGGAGATGTATCCACCAAAGGATTAACTGTGGTTGGAGAAGACAAAAAGATCAAGAGCTGAATCCAGGGTCCCTCTCCTGTTAAGAGATGGAATCAAGAGGGCAAAGGCCATACTTGTGGTGCAATAGGCATAAGACCATAAAGTCGGGAGCTAAAGCTTGCCAAAATAATGTAGTATGTGGAAACCTGAGTAAAATTGAGTAAAAAGCTGTGTGGGTGGTAAGGGGTAGTGGTAGGGATATATATCAGAGGATCAGTGAGTTTGAAAGTGCATAAGTTGAAGTCCTAGCTCTAGGGTATGGCCAGGGCCAGGCCCAGAATCATGAAAGGACTAAGCACATCTTGTAAGGGTATTTGGAGCAATAAAATTTCCCCTTTCTGACAGAAAAGAAAGTCAAGAGGAATTATCACCCATATCAGAAATACCTTCTCAAGAAATACCTACTGAAATGACTTCAGAAACACCTCCATTAAAATCAAAAGTGCCTATGTCAAAACCAAAAAAGCCTGTATCTTCTTACTCCACGGATCCTTCCTCCCCTCGATCATCATCACCATCGTCATCATCTTCATCTTCCTCTTCTGAGTCCAAATTTTGGGACTCTATTGGTAAGCAGAGTTTTTTCTGCTCTTAATTACTTTTTTTGGTGCTTTTTCATTTCCCTTGTACTTTTTTTGGGGGGATGGGTGGGGGTGGGTAAGTGTGACTGTGGCAATTTTTGCCTATTGTAAAAAAGTGGTCTTTTGGTGTTGTGCCCTTTTCTGTCCCTACTTCCTGTTTCTCTTTTATCCCTGCCCCCCCCCCACATACACACCATAGGATTTATCATCTTTTACCCAACATCCACAAATATGGCTATTTTTTTTTAAAGATTTATTTATTTATTATTTATACAAGCACTGGGTATAGTCAGAAGCGCGGGAAGGTGAGAGAATTCACCAGAGCCAGAGCAGGAGCAGAGCAGGCAGAAAGACCGAAGTACACTGCTGAGGGGAGCAGCGGGTGGCAGGAGAGGTCTGCGTGCCATGTGGGACCCTTGCCTGGCAGCCGGGGATCGAACCGGCGCTGCAGAGGCTGCGGGCAGCTTCACAACCCAGCGCTCAACCGCTGCGCCACCGGGGAGGCCCATGGCTATTTTTTTTAAAGATTTATTTATTTATGCGTACAAGAACTGGGATACAGGCCAGAGGTGTGGGGGTGGTGAGAGAATTCACAGGAGACAGAGTAGGGAACAAATCAGGCAGACTGATGAAATACACTGCTGAGGGGAGCAGCAGGCAAGATTGGAGAGGTCTGCTGCGCCATGTGGGTAACTTCCTGGTGGGGGATCGAACCCGTGCTGCAGTGACTGCAGACAGCTTCATAGGTTGCGTCTTAACCCCTTGCACCACCAGGGAGGCCCTAAATATGTCTATGTTTTTAAGAAAATTTCCTCCCTCTAGATAACTTGGACTGGGAGACTCATGTGCACCAGAATCTGCCTGGACTAATGGAAATGGATCAGGATGAGCGAGTTGTTTGGCCTAGAGATTCACTCTTCCGATATTTTGAGTTACTAGAAAAACTTCAGTATAACCTAGAGGAGCGTAAGCGGTTACAAGAGTTTGCAGGTATGGATTGAGGGCAGTCAGGGGAACCAGGAATTAAATAGATGGGAGTAGTATTTATATCTAGGGAGAAAGAAGAGGGTATCCATTATTTGGCATCTCAGCTTCTGAATTTCCATCTCACACCTAAAAATAGCAAATCCATGGCTCAGCACATCACATTCTGGACATATGTTCTGGTATCTTCTCACCTAGAGAGAATCTGGCAACTCTGCCTCACTAGTAAGTTACACCTTAATACCATGAGGTCTAAGAGTGACTCTCCCAAGTGGAGAGTATCTAATTCCAGTTGTTTGGAATTAGGGCCAAGTAAGCTCTTGCTTGATTTGAGAAGCTCACCTGCTTTGGTACATGTTTCTTTTTCTAAAGGTCATATTTCAGACCTGCACAGTGGAGCTTCAGGCTCTATGGGGATTAGACAGTGACTAGAATGCCCACAGTGCCCACTGCCTCCAATCCCCAAAAGAATTTTATGAACTACAGACTTTTCTTTCATTCACCTCCTTCTATTATCAGCCTACGAAGAAAGAAGTATGTGATTTAAGTGGTAGAGTTCGATGATTTAAGCTGAGAGATACCTGATCAAAGTTGTTTCCTTTCAATTCCTCACTTGAAATTCCACCACTGGGAGATGAATTTGGATTAATAACTGTTTTTTACAGTTTAACATAGACTAGTATTACCTTCCTTACACCTAATTGAAATGAACACAAGGTGAAAACAAAAATTAGGACAGAGGAATGTTATGTGTGGGTGGTGGATACAGGAGGGTAACAAGAGGAATTTCTAATGTTGGAACATGGAATTTAGAGCAGGACATCAGACAGATTTTGCTCACTTCAAAATGTTGCTTGAAGTTAGTTTTGCTCTTTCTTCTTGTCTCCAACCCTTCCTTCCTACTTGTTCTCTGGGGAGAACAAAGTTAAGGAGAAGGTGGCAAGTTGGCTTCTTTAATCCCAATTAATTCATCTATGACAGAGTAAAGATTCATATAGTTTAATTTAAAGTAAAGATTAATAAAGATTTTTGCGGGACCGTAGAACCCCAAAAAGCAGGGTTTTCACCAGACATTTGCGTGTTCGGATGTTCTTAGCTCTTTAGCCTCACAGTCTGTTTCTTTACAGTGCAGGCACTGATGAACTTGGAAGACATGTAAAATGACAATGGATGCTTCCATGTCTTTGGCAAAGATAGCGAAGGGGAGAAATGGAGATGGAGAATTCAAAGTGTAAATGTCTAATAAATACTGCTGATAATTGCGCAGTGGTCTTGTCTCTGAGAGACGGGATACTGAAAGGTACAAGGTCAGGTGTAAAGTGACCAGTGCCAGTGGAGCCTGTGGTTCTTGGCTTTCTACTCTTACTGCAGTTCCTGAGCCTGACTCTTACCTTGACTCTCACCTCTCCTTTCTTGCAACTTTTGCTTCCTGATAAAGTCCTAATTTCACCCTTTCCCTCTCCAGTGTGTACAGAACTCTCTTGGGATGGTAGGATGAGAGGATCCCAGGAGCTGGTAGTGTGACTAATTGAAAACTATTGTTTCTGTTGCCTACTCTTTGACTACCACACAAATTAAATTAATCAAATGTCATTTTTACCTATTTCTGAGCCAAAAGAGAGTCCCTTTAGTCCATTCCCTTACCACACTGTAGGAGAGTTCAAATCAGTAAGTGTGTCATAGACTTTTACATTAAAAGGCACCTAAGGGCCTCCCCTGGTGGCGCAGCAGTTGAGCGCTGGGTTGCGAAGCTGCCCGCAGCCTCTGCATCCTGGTTCAATCCGCCGCTGTCAGGCAAGGGTCCCACATGGTGTGCAGACCTCTCCTGCCGCCCGCTGCTCCCCTCAGCAGTGTATTTCTCGTCAGTCTGCCTGTTCTACTCCCCACTCTGGCTCTGGTGAATTCTCTCACCCTCCTGCTCTTCTGACTGTACCCAGTGCTTGTATAAATAAATAAAAATAAATCTTTAAAAAAAAAAGGGAAACTCCTTTAAAAAAATAAAATAAAAGGCACTTAAGAATTAATCTAGGGCCTCCCCGGTGGCGCAGCGGTTGAGCGCTGGGTTGCGAAGCTGCGCGCGGCCTCTGCGGCGCCGGTTCGATCCCCGGCTGCTCCCCGGCCACCAGAGGAGGGTCCCACATGGCGCGCAGACCTCTCCTGCCGCTGGCTGCTCCCCTCAGCAGTGTACTTCGGTCCTTCTGCCTGCTCTGCTCCCCGCTCTGGCTCTGGTGAATTCTCTCGCCCTCCCGTGCTTCTGACTGTACCCAGTGCTTGTATAAACAAAACAAACAAACAAACCAGCAAACAAATAAATAAAGCATGCCTCTATAAAAAAAAAAAAAAAAAAAAAGAATTAATCTAGCTCCCATTAAAGCATGAACACCTTTTCTTTTTTTTTCTTAAAGAGGCATGTATTTTATTTATTTATTTGTTTGTTTATACATGCACTGGGTACAGTCAGAAGCGCGGGAGGGTGAGAGAATTCACCAGAGCCAGAGCGGGGAGCAGAGCAGGCAGAAGGACCCAAGTACACTACTGAGGGGAGCAGCCAGCGGCAGGAGAGGTCTGCGCGCCATGTGGGACCCTCCTCTGGTGGCCGGGGAGCAGCCGGGGATCTAACCGGCGCCGAAGAGGCCGTGGGGGAGCTTCGCAACCCAGCGCTCAACCACTGCGCCACCTGGGAGGCCCAGGAACACCTTTTCAAACAACACAGATGGACTATCTGGCTGATATTTTTAGCACTCATCAATGGATTTTGTTTGCAGTAATTATTACTATGGTACTTGATTTCTCTCGTTCCTTCTACACTTATTAATTGTAATTCCTTTGTAAACAATTATTTCTTGGGCCTCCCTGGTGGTGCAAGGGATTAAGACGCAACCTATGAAGCAGTCTGCAGCCACTGCAGCATGAGTTCAATCCCAGGCCAGGAACCTACCCACATAGCACAGCAGACCTCTCCTGTCTCACCCACTGCTCCCCTCAGCAGTGTGTTTCAGTCATTCTGCCTGTTCTGTTCCCCACTCTATCTCTGGTGAATCCTCTTACACACACACACACCCACCACCTCTGGCCTGTATGCCAGTTCTTGTGTGCATAAATAGATGAATAGATAAATCATTAAAAAAAAAATCTCTTCTTGTGTATATGTGGCACATATACACAATGGACTAATACTCAGCAATCAAAAAAGATAAACTCAGGCATCCCCGGTGGCGCAGCGGTTGAGCGCTGGGTTGCGAAGCTGCCCGCGGCCTCTGCGGCGCCGGTTCGATCCCCTGCTGCTCCCTGGCCACCAGAGGAGGGTCCCACATGGCGCACAGACCTCTCCTGCCGCTGGCTGCTCCCCTCAGCAGTGTACTTGGGTCCTTCTGCCTGCTCTGCTCCCCACTCTGGCTCTGGTGAATTCTCTCACTCTCCCGCGCTTCTGACTATACCCAGTGCATGTATGAACAAAAACAAACAAACAAATAAATAAAACATGCCTCTATTAAAAAAAAAAAAAAAGATAAACTCATGCAATTTTCAGCAACATGGATGAAGCTGGAAGGGATCATGCTCAACAAAATAAGCCAGAAAGAAAAGGAAAAATACCAGATGGTCTCACTCATAGCAGTAATTTAGAAAACCTAAATAAGGGACCAGGAAAAAACCTAATTATAATAAAGTAAAAATCAAAATCAACAAACAACTGTAAACCAGAGACACACTGCGGGGGGATGGAGGGGAGGAAGGATTAGGATCAAAACAAGGAGTGGGTGGGAATTGTATGGGGACTATAACCAAGATGAAAATGCATACATTGTGCAAAAATGAAAAATGATGTAAAAAATATTTAAAATAAAAAAGAATAAAAAAATAAAAGTGATGAAGAGAAGAAATCAAAAATAAAAAAAAAGATTTATCTCTTCTTGGGCCTCCCTGGTGGTGGAGGGGTTAAAGACAGCACTACGCTCCTGGCTGGCCAGGGAGCTACCCACATGGTGTAGCAGACCTCTCCTGTCTTACCCGCTGCTCCCCTCGGCAATGTATTTCAGTCAGTCCGCCTGTTCTGTTCCCTACTCTGTCTCTGGTGAATCCTCTCACCCCCTGTACTTCTGGTCTAAACCCCAGTTCTTGTATTCATAAATAAATAAATCTTTAGGTCCTCCCCAGAGGCGCAGCGAGTTGAGCGTAGTGCTTTGAAGCTGTCCGCAGCCTCTGCAGTGCAGGTTCGATTCCCAGCCAAGGAGAGTCCCACATGGCGTGGCAGACCTCTCCTGTTGCACCTGATGCTCCCCTAAGCAGTGTATTTCGGTCATCTGATGGTTCTGCTCCCCACTCTGTCTCTGGCGAATCCTCTCACCCTCCTGTGCCTCTGGCCTGTACCCCAGTTCTTGTATAAAAATAAATAAATCTTTAAAACAGTAAATAAATAAATCTTTTAAAAAATAAGAATTGTCTCTTCTCTGAGGTGAAAGATTGGCAGCAGCAAGCTCATCACCATAGTAGAACTCTGACCTCTGATAACTTGGGCCAAAAATGAGTGGGATGGAATGAATTATTTAACAAATCCTTTGTTTAATAATATGTATCAGGGGCCTTCCTGGTGGTGCAGGGGTTAAAGTCTCAACGCTATCACGCTTTTGCCAGCCACTGCAGCCTGGCTAGGAGCTAACCCACTGTCTCAGCCCACTGTTCCCCTCAGCAGTGTATTTCAGTAGATCTGCCTGTTCTGCTCCCTACTCTGTCTCTGGTGAATCCTCTCACCCCTGCACTTCTGACCCACACCCCAGTTCTTGTGTGCATAAATAAATAAATCTTAAAAAAAAATAACATGTAACAGTAACTATGTTAGGCACCTCAGATACAACAGGGTTAGATCTTAATGTCTAATCTAGTGTGAGACAGAACTTATGTTTCTGGGGCCTCCCTGGTGGCACAAGGGTTTAAGCACAGCATTGTGAAGCTATTGCAGCCTATGCAACAGGAGTTCAATCTGCCGGCCAGCCTGGGAGCTACCCACATGGCACAGCAGACCTCTCCTGTCTTGCCCGCTGCCCCCCCAGCAGTGTATTTCAGTCAGTCTGCCTGTTCTGTTCCCCACTCTGTCTCTGTTGATTCCTCTCATCCCCTGCACCTCTGACCTGTACCCCAGTTCTTGTATGCATAAATCAATCTTTAAAAAAAATTAATAAAGAACTTATGTTTCTGGTTTGAAGATTAGGCACATTCCTCCAAATACCAGATGACTCCAAAAAGCCTTTGTAGGACTAAATAAAAATACTCTTTCTGACTGACTTGTTAATCACTCTGTTGGAGAACAAGCTAGATCTATTCTCCTCAACTCTCTTATTTTCAAATAATTAATACAGAGCTACTCAAATAATAATAGTTGTAATATTTAGTGAGTGTTTTTTTTTTTTGTACCAGTGCCTAGAACATGATGGGTGCTTGGTCTTTGTTGAATGAATGCCAGACAGTGTGCTCAGTACTTCAAATGCATTATCTAATTTCATCCTCACCTAACTCTCTATTAATATTTCTCCTTTTAACAGAAAACAACACTAACACAGGAAAGCTTTGAAATTGCCCTGGACACACAGAGAGTAAATATTAGAATTATAGTTGGAACTCAGCCATCTCATTTTTACTACCCCATTAGCCTAAATAAATAAATAAAGGGAATTTATTATGTGCATTATTACAGAAGGACAGAAGTTCATGTGGATTGCATGATGAGCTAGAGCCAGGAACTAGAAATATACTAGGTTGTATTCTTTAATATTTCTCTCAGTTTTTCAGAGCAGATGTGGTACTTTTGGTAGGCAAAGGAAAGTTTTGGCAAAGTGATGCAATAGATAACTTCATTTTCCCAAGCTTGTGACTCACCTTGGAAAATCCCCACACTGCCCTCAACTCCTTTGGTAGCCTGGGTTAAGTCATTCCGTTTCTTTGAATCTCAGTTTCCTTATCTATAAAATGAGAAGTTTTTACCAGAGAATTCCTTAGGTCCCTTCCTGCTCTAAAATCCTGTGATCTGTGGCCTCCCTGGTGGCACACGGGGTTAAGACACATCCAGTGGGGCTGTCTGCAGCCACTGAAGCACGAGTTGGATCCCTGGCCTGGATCATCGGCCGGGGAACTGCTCACATGGTGCAGTAGACCTCTACTGACTCGCCTGCTGCTCCCCTCAGCAGTGTATTTCCATCAATCTGCCTGTTCCCCATTCTGTCTCTGGTGAATCCTTTCACCCCCCGCGCCTCTGGCCTGTACCCCAGTTCTTATATGCATAAATAAATAAATCTTTTAAAAAAATAAAACAATAAAATCCTGTGATCTTAGTGAACTATGTAGGACTGAAGTGCATTAATAATGGATTTGAATGGGTGGGTTTGGGAGATCGAATAGAGGAGAATTCTAAGGAAAGAGGGACAGAATAATGATTTGAGTGCAAGCTCAGTGCTGAGTTACTCTTCAGCACTGGTGTCAGGTAAAAGTCTTAGAGGGGCCTCCCTGGTGGCTCAGGCGATTGAGTGCAGTGCTATGAAGCTGACTGTAGCCTCTGCAGTGGGGATTCGATCCCAGCAAGGCCAGGGAGCTACCCACATGGCACAGCAGACCTCTCCTATCTTGCCCACTGCTCCCCTCAGCAGTGTACTTCAATCTGCCTGTTCTGCTCCCCACTCTGTCTCTGGT